CACCTGTGGGTTCAATTCCTGATTTAAATAATAATACTAATAATAATTCTAAATGACATCATGATAAACACAATAAATTTTGTAACTGATCTTTTTCTTTTGGTGGTACTGGGGATTAAACCCAGGGCCTTGTGCATTTGAGGCCAGCACTCTACCAACTGAGTTATATACCCAACTCTATAACTGAACATCTTACTAGACTCTTGCTTCCTTCTGTGACTTTTGTGCTTTTGCTATTCCTTCTCTTATTCTATACTTTCTGCCAAAATTTTCTTCAGAAACAAAAACTCACTCCTTTCACAAATTATCTTTATAAAGAAAAATTTCTGGACATCTTCACCCCTTTGGTAAGGATTGACAAGTCTTCTATTATGAGTTAAAAACTCTATTCTGTTCTTTAATTCAGTACTTCTGCCTCTTTTTCTGTCCTTTTGTTTAAAATTGTGATTTATAACTGCATAGTTACAATTATGGTTTACATTGCTTCCTTGCCTTAGAACAATGAAGCCTTTTGCACACTTATCTCTAAACCCCAATACTCATGCTTTGATTTTTCTTTGTGTTCAGCTACATCACCAAGGTTGTTACAGGTCTTAATGTAAGCAGTTTCTCTTTGATCTGGTCCTGGCTTCCTCCCTCCCATGTATGGTGCTCATATTTTTTTGTGCTTGGTGAGACTTTTATTGAGGTTACATCTCATATACCAGTTGTGATGTAATGAGATATCTTTTTGCAAATATGGTGGATGTGATAAGTGGATGTTATATTGGGACTTCATGGAGATAAGTGACTGCAGTGTCTACCTGTCCTGCTATAAGGTCTTCTTCATGGTATAAATACATTGTCTTATCCCTTGTTTACAAAACTTGAATTGATGGAGTGTACAAACCAAGCTACATGTAGTTCTGATCTCAAAAGTTATGACCACTACATGTCTACATTGTATACAGCACTTGCTTTTTTTTCAGGGATACTTTACTTTAGAGAACTCTGAAAAATTCTTTTATAACATATAAGTACATAAAACAGGGCTGGGGATATGGCTCATGTGGTAGTGCGCAAGCCTGGCGTGCATGCGGCCTGGGTTCAATCCTCAGCCCCACATACAAACAAAGATGTTGTGTCTGCCGAAAACTTAAAAAAAAAAGAAAAAGAAAAAAAGAAAAGGAAAAAATTTAAAATTCTCTCTCTCTCTCTCTCTCTCTCTTTCTCTCTCTAAAAAATAAAAATATAAATAAATATTTTTAAAAAAGAGAACAATATTGGGCATGTTCAAATTTTCCAGAAAAATCTGAGAGCAATTATTAATGATTGCAGATAATAAAACTGAGATTCCCAGAGTTAAGTGATATATCATAATTTACAAAGTTACTAAGTGAGAAAAGCTAAGATTCAAATGAAATCTAGCTAAGTTTTTACACCTAAAAAATACTGTAATATTCACAAAGTCTTACACCTAATACATTATGAGGCAAGGCTGTTACTTTATTGGCTTCTCCATTTAATATTTTCATTTTAAAAACATTTTATTAGTAGAAATAATAGTATTTCTGATGATAAATATATAAGAAAATATTCAACACCTTCAACATCCACATGTTCAATGGAAACCATGTAGAGTTTTTATATCTTTATATCAGATTTTTCAAAAAAGCATTTATAATCTGATAGTTAAAATCATTTTTCAAATTGTACTACTATAAATGTTGTTGTAGCTGCATTCTTGTAGTATGCTGTGATGCCCTTCAGTATATAAATTGATAAAGAAAATGTTCTTTTTATACAAAATGGGATAATGCTCATCATTAAAGAGAATGAATCATGGCATATGCAGGTAAATGGATGTAGCTGAAGAATATTATACTAAATGAAGTAAGACAATCCACCCAAACCACGTGCTGAATGTTTTCTCTGACATAAAATTTCTGATATGTAATGGAAAGGAGGGAGAAGCATGGGTGGAATAGACAAACTATAGATAAGGCAGTGGGGAGGAAGGGGAAGAAAGAGAGCATGGGGATAGGAAAGTGATGGAATGAGATGGATGTCATTACCCTAAGTACATGTATGAAGACATGAATGGTGTGACTCTGTTGTGTACAAGAGATATGGAAAATTGTACTCTATTTGTGTAATATGAGTTACAATGCATTCTACTGTCTTTTATAACAAATCAGAATAAAATCTAAAAATTATGTTATAAAAGATTGTGAGCAAATTCAGAGGAAATAAAATATTTAAATACAAAAATAAAAAAGCATGTTTATATATGTTGAAATGTTTTACATATTCCATTGTGGAGTTTTTAATACTCAAGAATAACTGTAACATATTATGAAAAAAAGCAAATACATTTGAAGCAAATAAAATATATTCATTTATTTAAAAAGTAATATATTGTCTCATTTAAATCTATTCTTTGAGAGAGAGAAAAACAGAATACAAAGAGTGATTAATAAAGTAAAACAAAATAGAGAGAAGTGGAAAACTAAATATACAAATGAAAAAAGAAGTCTTAAAGTACTAGAAAATCCATGCTAAAAATAAGAAAAGGAGTGAATGCATGATAAGACTGTGAGGAATGACAGATTATTTATCCTCTGATAAATGTCTGAAAACTTATTTTCTTTTTTTTAAAGAGAGAGAGAGAGAATTTTTTTAATATTTATTTTTTAGTTTTCGGTGGACACAACATCTTTGTTTGTATATGGTGCTGAGGATCGAACCCGGGCTGCACGCATGCCAGGTGAGCGCACTACCACTGGAGCCACATCCCCAGCCATCTGAAAACTTATTTTCTTGGGATAAAATAACATATGAAACTATTTCTCACAAGTTTAGACACGATTTTGTAATTACTTAATCATAAAAGTTTGTTAAATAATATCAATACTAGATACTTCCTGGAATTTTTCTCCAAGTTGATGAAATCTTTTATATATTTTAGAATATGTATGTGTGTGTGCACTCTAGAACACTATGTATAAATGTACATATGTTTTATCTAAGGTTAACTTTTATATGTATGTGAAATAATTTGATTCTTTTATATTTTTCTAAATATAATGGTAAAAAATTTTTTTGTAGAAAATATAATGTGAGTAATCTGTTTACTTTATTTTAAAGTGTCTGAATTTTTTTTTACATAACTTGCTTTGGAAAGCCAGTCATTTTTATATTTTAAATAATAGGTGTGTTTGAGGGGCCTGGGGATGTGGCTCAAGCAGTAGCGTGCTCGCCTGGCATGTGCATGGCCCTAGGTTTGATCCTCAGCACCATGTACAAATAAAGATGTTGTGTCCGCCAAAAACTAAAAACATAAATATTAAAATATCTCTCTCTCTCTCTCTCTCTCTCTCTCTCTCTCTCTCTCTCTCTTGCACACTCTATCTCTCTCTGAAAAAAAGATGTGTTTGAATAAAAGCATTTTAAGAAAGCCTCCACTCAATGATGAATAAAATTCCCTATTAAAGAGTATTAAAGAGTATTTATTTATTTCTTAGTAGAAAATGTTTCCCATAAAAAGAAGCAATGGATGTTAGCCCACCACAGTACGCTAGTTAAATCACCTTTCATATAAACCTATGGCAGGGATGCTAAGAAGATTATATTTCAAAGCACAATGGATCTCAAACATCAAATAAAACTCTAAGCTTCATGAAACCAAAAGAAAAGATTTTACCAGCATTTTCTATTTACCACAGAGCCTTCTCTCAAAGAAATAGGCAGTCCTATGCTAAGTATTTGATAGCATACCCTTGGTGTCAACATTTCCTATTCTTCTATAACAATCACTGGAGTTCCAGATTTCCCCTCACAGTCAGAATTCTATTTTCTTCTATAGGGTATGCTCACAAAGCAAAACAAATAGGAGT